AGGTACATACTGCGATTATGCACTATATAGGCACCTACGTACATTTTTGTTTTTGTTAAACATGAGCGGTTTATTATCCACGACCACTATTTATCTGACAAAAACATACTTGTAGAATGCAGATAATATATTATACGTATAATCCACAATTATCCATTAAATCAAATAATGTTGCAGATAATTCCAGTGAGCGACGTTTGTTAAATTGTGTTCTCGAGTAGGTACCTACCAATATTATAATATTACATAATAGGTAATTCGTTTTATTTTCATTGAATTAATAAGTTTCAAATATACTCATAATTATATACAAATAAAAATATATACCTAAAAAAAGATGGATTATATTATACACTAGTGTTCAAGTTAAAAATAAACGTCAACCCACGAAAGTATTCCAACCGACTTAAATGTTAAACAGGTAGTACCAATAAATACAAAATTAAAGAAATTAAACTTTTAAGAATTACAAAAAATGTCTAGCAATAATTTTTAGTTTAAAAATAAAAAACTAAGAATGCTAAAAAATCAATTTCCAATGCGACCAGGAATTCGAAAAGTTTGGTGCAGTAGTAAGTACCTAATCTAACACTTGAATTTATAAGAGATTCGGTTTTTTGCTGTGCTTTGGTCATCATTTAGGTACTCATTTTGTGTTATACGGAAGTGCCATACAAAAGGTTTCAAACTCACACCGTAGTATCATACAATAGCTTTTAAGTTTACAACTTTCCGTCTCATTGCCTCTAACACAAAGATTTGCAAATAGAAACTGTTGAGCTGCCCAAAAACTATTGTACTAAATTCCGTAAGACCAAACTATAAAGTTCCACCAAAAGTCAAAATCCTCTTGTTTCTCGTTTACCGTCATTCAAGCTGCCCGACAACCAACTCACGTATTTTCAAAAGGCGCTGGTGACTAAAAAATGTAATAATAAACAACATATTAATAGATTCGTCAATTTACGTAAACATTTTTTAAGAATAAGATACTAATTATTATAATAATTGTAACACCTATAGTTGAATAAATCTGGTATTTTTTGTAACGTCGAAATTTATCTTGCTATTATTATATTTTAGTGATGCCTGTACATAGAATCTCTCTTGCCCCTCTTAGTCAAGTGCAAATCGCCGCGAATACGACGAATATCTTGGATCCTGAGTGGAACGAAATATTTAACAGTTTGTTATTTAACTGTTATATTTCATAAAATATGTCGATTACTACGTACAGCTCTACGTCAGTCCAATTACTGCTCTCAGCAGCTAACATTATTATTTTGTGATTTTTATTCGTGTACATATTCGAATATTTTAATTACGATTTACGATAACAATATACTACGACCTACTATAAAAGTACACATAACATAACAGTCGTATTGAGTTAACGACCGCGCTTGTAAACACAGGTTTAAATGCAATAGCGAGGACCGAGATCGACGTGGGTGTTTATGGTGTGTGGATATTTATCCAATGATTTTTTTCATGGAAATGAGTACAAAGATAAAGATTTAGAATAGACGTACGTGTGACCTGTTCGTGTACACATAGGTACCTCATAGGTATGTAAGCAACGAAAGGAAACACGTTAAAAAAATTCAGATCATAAAAAAATAGAAAAACAACCCATCGTAGCACTCATAAACGTACTATAAATAAATGTGCATATCTTTTGTTACACAACAAATATTTATGCCCGTTAAATACATTTAAACCTACAAAATCATTATTACCTATGTATGTATGGGTATCTGCTATAGGTATACATCGTTTAAAAATTGAAATCAATTTGTATTGTTGAACTGTAAAATTAATGCTCGAAATTCCGTCGAAATGCCTACTTCATAATTGGTATAAACATATAATGATACAATAAGAGTTTTGCAATGAAAATGTATGACTGTTGAAATTTTTAACATTTATCAATACAATACGTAATAATAAATTAACTCGATTGCGAAGGAATGTATAACTACAACAGGCAACAACGATGGATTTATATTGTTTTACAGTATCATCACTTATCAGTATAGGTGTATAATACTTCAAAACGTATTAATATGTACGTTTGACAATTCGACTATTTTATTATAATGTTTATACGAATTCTGAATAAAATAAATAGTTAAATAATATAATTAATTTAGGTTAAAATATTTCAGGAACGAGATCATATAGATACTATTGTACCTATAATATACACGCGTATTTCACTTTTTCATTATTTAAACAAAAACCCTACTCTAGGTACTTAACTAATAGTATGCCAAAGTAAAAAATTAAATACCGCTTTTCAGTTTAAAATACGATATTACTATTAATTATAGATACAGTTCCTAACTGTATTCAGAGGAACCCCAGGGTTCCAAGGAGATCATTTCGACACTTCAGGGTTCCTCGAAATTAAGTGATTTTTTTTCAAAATTTTCAAAAAAAATACTTAAAAATCTAACTCAAGTTTAGAAGTGTCTAGTGGGGGAAAAAATGTTTGCATCATAGAAAAAAGAACTTTGTACATTAAATAATAATGTACACGGTATAATCTATACTTCTATAGTGTAATCAAAGTGCTTATTCGGTATCTATATAGAAATAATATTTTTTAATATCATATATATTCGTTGATACAAATGTATCAACAAAAACAAAATACCACAACAGACTTGATGCTGAACCTTATAATATGAGAGTACAACTCAACAACATTTGTAATAATAAAAATCAATTTCACTTATCTCATTAACACTATTTTATTATCTTATACTATTTTTGTTTTAAAATATTTTTTGAATTAAATACAGTATACACATTATTATTATAAATTTATATTGCAAATAATCCTTACACAAAATTACGCATTAAAAATATTAAAACAAAGTAGGGGTTCTAATTGTTAAGCTGTAATAACGTATTGCCGAAAGCTAAATAAAAAAATCTAAAAGCTAAAAAAAAGTAATTAGGTGCTCCATGATAAAAGTGGTTCTACGGATAAGAAAGTTTAAGAAACGTTGGTCCATAATGTCATACACTGATAAATCATAGACAATTTTATTATAGCTTGTTTTTGATTGTAAACACCACCTGTAGGTTATACCCATTATCGACCGCTTTTCAATTTTTCTAATAAATATGTATTTATAACGTTGGTTTTAATCTCGTCGAATTTAATATTAAGACGTAGGTACAACATTTTCCGCGTAGGTGTATTTAAAACCCGGCACTTTCGTGAGGAGAATCCGAATTTTTTAAAATTTAAAACTATTTGATTTAACAATGCACGCCAAATAAAATATTAATCGTAGGTTATTTTACATATAATAGGGTACACCTAGGCGGCTAGGCCTTTTGTGCCATAAAATACGATTCAAATTCGCAGCCGATCATTTTATTTCTTTTTCAATCGCTCGTTTGTGGAAGTGCATGCACTTTTCTGGGACCTTTTATACAAATTGTATAGGGTTTCCGTTTTTAATCACACACCGTATTGTATGTGTTCATCGTAGAGTCAACCAATATATTATAATTGTAAATGTCAATACGACTACGTTGTGTGCATGAAGTGCTTGAACTTCTGACTGTGAACTGTGAAATATGTGAGTGTTATTTCTGTTTCAAACAGTGCTGGTAGAGGGACGGCGGAAGATTATTTTTCTCTTATATTTGCAACCCCTAATGGCTTCCTGTTAAGTGAACTGTATACGTAAGACCAACAATATGGAATTGTGTTTCAATTTTAATTTTTAATTAATTCTACCTATATATTTAATTATTGTCATCGTAGAAAAAAACACGCTGCACCATACCCCCGTATTAGCACGAGGCGTCTGCTTCCGAAAGGCGCTCTCCGAAGTTAATAATTATTAGAATCAACTTATATTATAATAGTATCTTTGAATACATGTTCTGTTTTAATTAAAACGATTAGGTAAAGTTCGAAACTTGCTTGAGTCTTTGAGATATTCTAAAAGTAAATAATAATAATAATAATAATAATATGTTCTCCTAGCTATACCTACTGTGTGTATAGTATGGAAACTATTCGTAACTCGTAAGCATAATGTACCTGCCTATTCAGCCACTTAATTTATTTTAAATCATGCGGATTAACTAGGACTTAGGAGTAAGTAAGTAGTGTAAATTGTAAGACTGAATTTGAAATATTGATTCGTCGTTATATTTAGTAATATTACCTAAATATTAAAATAAATTATTTGTGTTTACAATGAAAAGAGGAATGCATAAGTCATTTTTTTTAAATATGTATAACTATAGTGTAGGTTGTAGGTCCTTATTAATATTTTTATTTATTTATTTATAATGTTATTTAATGCTAAATTAGTTCATGAGTGGAATAAGAAAAAGTTCACATTTTTGTTAAATTTATTTATTCTTAGGTATTTATATATTTATTTACGTATCTACCAGTGACGTACATCAGAATCTATTTCGGGGAATGGGGTCAAAAATCTTACGTTTTGTTATTTTAGAATAAAAACGTACTTTTAAACCCATTTCGTTTTCCTGTATCTAATTATATAATACTATAGGTGGGTATTATAGTTAGTGTATACAATTTTTCGAACGCGTGAAAAACAAAATAAACAATATTTTCATGTTGATACATACCAATATGTGCAAAATGATTCACCAGGCAAGATAACTCATTTTTCCTCCAATAATGCAGTTATTTGAAATCTGATTTTTGGATTTTTTATTTAATAAATTTAATTTCTCATTTAGTCATTTCACATTATGTTATATAATTGTATTGTGTAAAGGCGGTACATTATTTTGATCGTTTTCCGGATTTTTATATTATATTATTACAATCCAATGAGACCAAAAATGTTGACTTTATATAAAAAGAAGGCGATGTACTCTTCCGTCCTCTTACAACCCCCCATCCCCCTCCCCCCCACTACCATCATCAACGACTCAAACCACTGCGAATATGAACGGTGTTTAATCTTCTTTTTTTTTGTTTGCCCACTCAGTTCCAGAGCCTGACAAACCTACCATGTGGGCTGGAGTCCAACAACAACATAGCCACCGCGGGCGTGAGCATGGACGAAGAGGACGGTAGTGCGGACGATGACGAGCACATACGAACCGGTCTGTCTTACGACGAAGACTACGAAGACAACGCCTTCTCGACGTCATTCGCGGGCGCGTCCGAGGCGACCGCTGGCACAGCCCTCGTCAACGGCATTCGAAATGGAGGCGGTGGCAGCGGAAGCGGAACCGGAATCGAAAAGTTCCGCATCGAATACCCGAAAAAGTTCCACAATGCCCGCAGCATGTCACTGTCCATGGAACGGAACGCTTACTGCGAACTGTGCCGGTTTTCGCGCAGCCCCGTGCCGTTCGACCAGGGCGGAAGTGGCGGAGGCAGCGGCGGAGGCGGCGAACCGGACGAACGCGACAAGGGCGTCCGCCGGTACTTCGGGTTCACCATCAAACAGTACATGGCGCTCGGTTCGCTCGCGCTGGTCGACTTCCTCGGGTTCTGCTCCATGTCAGTCATGGCACCAACCTTTCCGAAAGAGGTACCTATATACATATACACTTTACATTGATATCAGATAGGCACTTTAGCGCTGCTTTCGATTAAGCAGATAGTTTGCACTGCAGTCCACTGTAAGTGCACATAATACAGTAAGGGTACAATGACTTTTGGGGATAGGGCTAAGGAGATGGGGTTGAGACGCTTTGGGATCGTGCAGGCGAATGCGATCGACGACTGTCTCTCGCGAAAGCCATCATGCTGCTGCCGTGCCGGTAATTCGGCGGGGCCAACCCTTGCCATCGGACATTTTTGTGTATTATAGTCTCAACATTCAACTCGGCATTTTTTATAAGCCCTCGATAAATGTTATAAAAGCTTTTGATTTTGATACAGTGAATCCCACATCCGAATATCCTCCAACCGTATCCACCGGCGACGTACCTACAACAGTTATTCTAGTAGTGTTTAATAATGATAATAATAATAAGATAAAGGGGACTGCATAGCAACTGTAAAAAGGTTACATATACTGTCCAACCGTTAGTGCCACATTCGGTTAATATTTGCTTATAAGTTGACAATAACACAGGAACGTTGAATGTATATATTATTTACACAGACAATTGTCTGAGGGTTTGGTTCGCAAGGTAGAAACTAAAAAAAAAAAACAGTCAATTCTACGTCATTTTTAACATAGTACCATTTCAAATAGATTAACTGTAGGTGAAATCGCTGACAGATCCACTATCTTGTCACAGGATTAATCATAATAATCATTCAGCCATCATAATATACATATTAATAAATTTTAATTTTAATTGTTCAACCAGTACATCATAGCTACTTCTACAGTGATTTTCAATAGCACCCTCAAAACTGGGTTACTCGCAAGTCGCAGGGATAGTGTAGGTACTTACTGTGTTACTATGACTCTTTCAGACGTTGAATAAATCTACGTTGCTATATCGTATTCGATTGAGTTAGTTCGAACGGAATTCATGTTTCCTGTAAAATAGCACCGGTAAAACTTTTTTTTAGTTCAGTCCAACAACCAGGTTGATGTGTAGAGGAAATACCCAACCAGCCAAACTTGTCAACTATACTATACTATGTCGCCCCCCCTCCCCAACATAAAATTCCCAAAAAATAATTATTTTGACATTTGTTTTGTAATTTGTCTGGATTTGTACGACACGACAATTATAGATGTAGACATCGACAGCCACTTGGTTTGAAATAACTATAGGGAGGTATTTGTTACGCAACCGAGGCACAAAGTGCACCTTAATAGTACGGCAGGCAGCAATTATAATTGTATGACAAGCGACGCAACTATAATTTAATGACAATAGTAACAAGGCTGGTGGCGATAATAAATATACCTTAGGTACGTAATTCCTATGTGACCTTTAACGGTTTTTCTTCTTTTCCATTGGAGCACTGGCCACCGGGTGTAATGCGGCGCAACCGAGTGTGGGATTAAAATAGGTCAATTTAAATGAAACGACTTTTGAGGAGTTTGGGTGTTCGTAAATAAAACATTTTATTTCGGTTGCTCAAAACGAAGTTTATATTATAATAGTATTTTATAATACCAATATACCATGTGCTTAGAATTCACCTTAAACCTTAATTTCCTCTTTAAATACTTTTTAGATTCTGAGCAGACCGAGAAAGCCATAGTGGTTTTACTATCATATTTATTTTGGTTTTTTTTTTGGTTTGATCTTAAGATTTTGAACCATGTGTAATTATTTTTTAGTAGGTAACAAATGTATTATCTTATTGGTACTTGTGAAACGTAATTTTTGGACATTTTTGATAAATGCTCAAAGGAAAACTATCAACAAATTTCCGAAAAATGGTAAACATGATTTTGTTCAATTCGAGTCTTGTTATTTCTTAGTAATTAATAATTATTTCAAATTTCTGAGGCTTCAAATTCCGCAACTAGGTACATTCATAGTAGTGCATACCTATTACCTATAATACTGAAATAATTTACCACTGCTTTAAAATGCATTTCATCTACTACAATTTCGATCGACCAATTTATACTACTTAATTACGAGAGTATTCGAAGCCTTCTATACAGCAGAACAATTCCTCGTTATTTCATGCATTACGAATACCTACTTTGAAGTGAGTTTAAAAAGGTATTTAAATGGTACTTAAAATCATTATTTTGTGGTTTTGTATTAAAAAAATCGTAAATACTTGTAAAAAAAAACCCAAGTACATGATTTCCTGTTGAATTTGTTTCCACTCAATTTAAAAAAAAATACATTTAATTATCAAAAAAAAATCCTCCGTATAAATTCCAGTTCCGAAGAGCTGTAATCGAGCATAAGCAAGTGTTATTTAAATAATTATTTGAAATACATATTTACCATCCATAGTGTGTTTAAGTACTTGTCGGAAAATTTAATTAATTTCATTCCAGAAGTATTTTTTAACACGCATGCACCCATATTCTATCCTGTTGGCGCATTAAATTTCGGCGGGCTCGAAAACGCAGTCCCTCATATCATACTATATATTATAATACATTTATAATGTGTACCTAACAAAGTCTTATAATAGGTGATGTATTAGGTACCTACACATTAATAATACAACCACGTCGGCTGATGTCCGTGCGTCCGTCTAAATCGTGACCACGTCGTTATCGTGGTTGCTACCTCTCTACAGGTCTCACGTCAGAAGTACGCGGGTTTATTTGTCTTTGCGGTCTACTATGGGTACACACATTATACCGACGTCCGCTCGTTGACCACCGTCAACCCTTAAAATCCTGCACGAGGCACAGCCGTATTATTATTTATATATACTGCGCTATATATTAAAGTTACCTGCATTTACAGTTTTATGGGATTTCGTGATGGGTTTATGTGTACGGGCTGCGGAACGATATCTATCCTCTTTTACCGTTCCAAAGCGCATAATACTGCTTATCTACCGTTTCGTTAGTACCCGTAGGTAGGTATCTACATAATGATATGCTGTATGTATTTATATATATATATATATTATTAGACTTATCTATAATGCGACTTAAATTACTGTACAATAATGTACGAAATATATTGCCCGAGGTTTTACGTGACGTAAACCAATTGATTTAGACGACATGGCGCCAACTCCGATTTTGGTACCTATACGTGTAACAGTATCGTATCGACAAAAAAATAAAACGCCCATACCGATCGTAATCACAATGTATAATATTATGTTAAAACTGTAGCGATAAGTGCGGTCGGGATCACCCCAAAGGTCCAAACATGATAAAGCACACGACGACTCACTTGGTTTTAAATATTACGATAGATTTACCCAGGGTTGGATACTCGGGTTTAGCCGAGTGATGGCCTTGGGGCGGAACATAATATTGTGCAAGCCCTGAATGTTAGCAAACGGAACAATACATTTTTTGATTATTAAATAGTTTTTCCGTTTTTAAATTTGTAGAAAACGATAGCACTATTATTCGCTAAATAATGAGCAACAAACAATAAACTTAAACACCGTGAACAATAAACTATGTAAGGTATGATATCATTCGCTTGCACTATACGTCCGAACGTCAGAATAATGATTGTGCGGTTGATAATATTATCGATAACTATTTTTGACGTGGAATATTACTATTCGTCGTTGACCGACATAATAATATATTATTATGACTTCAGTCAGAGGGCTAAGCCCCCCTCACTAGTTTCACGAGCTTTTTCTGAATACGTCTCCGTGACCTGTGTCAATCTATTAAAGCATCTCTCTTACGATATTTCAAGTAGTTTTTCTTTAAATAGGTTAGGTAGGCACCTATTAAATTCTCACAAAAATGTTTGGTTCTTGTCGATTTGGTTTTGATAGTTACAATATTGGTAATCTGGTAAGTAATCGGAGCAAAATTTAATATTAGCTTAGTAATAATACTTAAGTGGATTCGTTCCTGTCTGTGTTTTTCACTAAAATATACCTATCTTATCTCAACTGTACAGACTTTACTGTCTTTATACTAGTCATCGTAAAAAACGTATGAAAACATAATATATTAATATGCGTATTTCAATTCGTCAAAAAGATTACTTAAAAACGGCTCTTCCACTTTTTTGAAATTTAATTATTAAACCCTTCGTACTTTTATTTTTAAATATTGAATATTAAGAAATTAAGAATTTTAAAATGGTAATAATCATAGGCAAAACTATAAAATGTTATTAGGACAGGTTAAATGATAAGTATGAAAAAAAATTGTAATTATACAAAATAAGATTTTTAATCAAATGTTATTACGTCAGTGTTATGTCTGGCCATGGCCTGACCAGCCTAGCTCCGTAGTTTTTACTATGGTGATAATATTTAACTAAACAAATGCTTTTAAGAATGTAAGAAAGTAGTTTTCAAGATAACTTCAAAGCAAATTAAAATATTTCTTTTTGAAATTATATCGGTTAAATATGTTAATTCGTTCGACTGGCAAATGATTGATACTTTTAGAAATAAAAAACAAAATAATTAATAATATTCGTGTAGCCCTTATTGGTATGTGCGTGCACGTGCGGTAGCTCTCCGATATTCAATTTACACACAGTCACACACACTAACTATACGATCACTCACCACTCGCACATACGTACGCACTCATTTATAAAATATCATCTGAAACGATCGGTATCGAATCCCTTTTCTAAAAAAAATCAGAAACACACTTCGATTCAGTGGCGTATATACGAATTATTTTCACTATGGGCCAATTTATTAATTATCACTAGTCAAGCAGCATAGCCATAATTATAGGTACATTTTTAAGGGAGCAGCTGCGTGGTTATATAATTAATGATTATGACATATTATACAGTACAAATAAAAATTGCGCAATTAAATTTTATAATTATTATGTAAAATTAATTTTTTGTTTCTTTTTTTAAAAATATTGGCAGTGTCGTTTATATATTTTAAGGTTATCTTACTATGAATTTAACATCAAAGTCAATAAGTCATTAAAGCAAGTCCCGTGAATATAACATTTCCTTGTTGATTCCTCAAAAATGACTTTGATCAACCGGCTAACTTAATCATGGTGAAAAACTGTAAACAGTGTAAATAAACATGCAATGCTTTAATCGAACCTGCAATTTCACTATGGGCTCTGGCCAAGGGGGCCTCCCCCCTATATACGCCACTGCTTCGATTTATGAGCATATACGTATACGTAATATTTACTATGTATTTACTATATATATATCGAATCAAAAACAAATTAAACTACTATTAACTAATAAGTATATTACTACAAATTATAATAGGTCAACCTATATAAAGGTAGATTATACTCGGTAGGTACCTAGTTAGTTTCACTCATACACCTAATTGCAAATTGTAGTTTAATTAAATGTTCGAATAGTTGAATGAAAGGTATTATTAATTTAAAATACAAAATATGTACCTATTGTTAATTTTAAGAAAAATAACTATGAACATTTAATATATTTTTAGAATTTTTTGTTATATTTGTAAGCTATACGTAACGCTTCTGGCAATAACGGAAGCTCGGCATGAATATTGATTAACGCTTCTTTGATTTCCATGGCATTAGCGTAGGTACATTTCGTTAACTAAAAAATCTACTAAAATAATACGCTCACACTTTTATCTTACAAATTTAGTTTCGGATTTTTCGTATTTTTCAAATATAATTTTAAATAACATTTTCCTTAATATCTTCGAATTAGTCTATGTAACCTTAGATTTGGTTAGTTAGCATGAGTATAATATAATGTATAAATAATTTTGAACTTTACGTTTCAATCTTTGATTGTCTGCAATTAAAATTTTTAAATAAAAGTCGATTTAGTTAAAGGGGAAGGGTGCCACTGGTCCTTAATTAGACTGATTAATATTGTAGTAATAATCAAGACATATTAATACAATGTACAAATACTAGTAAAAAATATGGTTGAGTTGATTGTAGTTAGTATAATACATTTGTATCAAGAAAAAAACAATGTAGGTATTCACTAATGTCCAATAAGTAATCTAAACATGATAGTTCATTATCGGTAGTCAGTAGTCATTAGTAATTGTTAGGTTTTTACATCCGAGTATAGCCTATATTATAGAAGTACCTTGTACCTACAATATTATATGACATTAAATTCTATCAAACATTTTGTTAATTCAAGCACAATGCGGATTTATACTTTAGTAAGACCGTAATTGTGATTAAATGTAATTTCATATAATGAAATATATTATGAAAAAAAATATGCTTATGTATGTGAACAGAAATATTGTTGAGTAATGATTATTTTACTGAACAGCTAATATAATATAATAGTCTATAGACGAGAATATGTACGTACAATAATACTTTTTCATTGTTTTTTTTTCAGGCTGAAAAGAAAGATATGACAGTTTCCGAAGCTGGTCTTGTTTTTAGTTTTTTTGCTTTGATAATGTTTTTGCTCTCTCCGGCAATGGGATCAATAGTGAGTATACATTTTTTTGAAATATAATTTATATACTTGAATGCTTGTATTGATGTTTAGTAATGTTGTACCACTGACTACTGAGTGACTTCTTTCTTCGCTACATTCATATTATCTATATTTTTATTTTATTTTATTTAGCTCTTACCGATTACCTGATGCTTATTGTGAATCGTACATTTTTATGAATACATTTTTAAAAAAATTCCTGATAATTTATTATTAATTTATGCTTTATATGGTTCTGATTTGTATACGTTACACCAAAAATCCATTAAATATTCACTTATAATAATATGCAAATATATTAATATATAAATACATAAAAGAGCCCCGAATTCAGAATTCAATTTTTTTTTAGTAAATTACTATTCAATAAGTTACATTTGAAATTTATGACATTAATTCTACCCCCAAAATTAATGTTTTTATTCATCGGGTGGCAACTTATTGAGTTCTTAACTTCAAAAAAACGTATAGTTAAAAGTTAATTTTGGATGTCCAGATTAAACCTGCAGCATCCCAAATGGTAAAAACATAGATTTCAACGGTAAGACTTAGGTTACTATAAATTATAATTTATAAAATGAAAAAATCGATTTATAAATAATAATATTACATGTCTAACGTCTGTCTATTTTATAACAATGATGAGTACCTATAATGGCAACAAAAATATGACGTATTTAGAAATATATATTATCTGAAAATATTTTCCAAGTTTTTGCGTCCCATCGACGGCATCAACGGACAATTCTTTTACGGCCAAATAAATAACAATTCTTCCCACGTGATTGTCCCAAAAATATCTAAGGTACCTAATTGATATCAAATATCAAATGTTGTTATGTTCTTTTTTAAGCACCTATATAGTTATTGATTTTTTTAATGTATAGAATTACCTTTACACATTTTTCACACAACTAAAATACATTTTATGTACAATGTTTGAAACAAATTGTATTATACTATAATAAATATTACTATGAAGAAATTTAACAAAAATTTTGCGATAAATATGAAAGGTTAATTTAAACATGTACTTTATTTTCATAAACATTAAGTGAAACGGAATTGTTTAATCACAAAATGTTACAACTTCCACCCCCCCCCCCCCACAAAAAAAAATCCATTATTATAATTAAAAAAATTGAACTACTAGGATTTACAAAACTAAACTATATACATTGCTATGAGAAAAAAATATTAAATCTTTTTTCAATAAAATTATTTTAAATGAAATCGCTTTCTGTTTGATTTACACGTTACATTATATTCGTATTTACAAACTACAAATAAAGATAAATATAAAAATGTGCTTGTTAATAAATTTTAAATGTTTATTTTAGATGCCAATATTCGGAACAAAATGTTTGTTTATATCGGGAGTGTTTATTTCCGGAATATGCAATATGCTGTTCGGGTAAGTACACATTGTGATATATACCTATATAAATTAATATGATAGGTATGATTTGTCCGATTTTTCATTCAGAATATTATTGATTCCGTTTTAATTTCGGAGAGTATAATTATTGTGAAGCTGTATAAGTTTTCAAAAAGTTCCATCATTCACAATTCACCCAATGTCCAACAATTAACGTAAATTTGACATGGATATGTACCTACATGTTATAACTTATTAACAGTAAGTAGTAGATTTTCGTGCCACTATGTACCAGGTAGCGGGTTCCCTGGATTTAATTACATGGAAAAAATCTTATTACTTATTTAGAGGAAATTGCGAAAATGATGACACTGTTGGTAAATTCCTTATACATTTGAGTACCTATTGAAGTATAGAAATATTTTTTATTGAATAATAAGTATGAATATATTCAATATTCATTCCTATAAAAAGCATAAAATATATTTACATTTACATTGTATTTTAGTATTTATTATACATTCTATACACAGACACAGCAAAATCGATTGTCGAACAATTACCGCTATTTTTACCATAATATCTTTGTCTCATATCTGTAATATATTTTTACCAATTATTACATCCACCAATTTTGTATATTTGTGTGTAATAAACTATAAACAGACTACAGAGTGACTACTATGCATCTGAGAATCTGAAGTTGTATTCGATTAAAGGTACATAATATATCAACTGTGTGTAAGCCTACAGTACCATTTAAATTTAGGTTTTATAATTTCTCAACAACAATGATATTAAACATACTATAATTATGTAATTGTTTTGTTTATTTATTAAGAATAAATGATAGTCCATCGTCCCATGTGCCCCAAATGTATTTTTCATTATTTTACTTAGCTAAAAATTAATTTTATCTAGTGGGGTGGATAAAAATTACGTTTAATAGGGACCATTTTTAATAGTTATACGACGTTCGTTATACATTTAAATACTTAGATCTATGCCAAAGGTAAGGCTACTAAAATCATTCTGCTCCTAGTTATAGCTTTTAGAATGGAATATTACCTGAATTGTTTGTATTCGCCTATTCTATTGAGATATATTTACGAATATGTGATATATACAGGGCGCGGCAGTCAAACCTGAAGATTTTAACAAGAACTGGTAGGCAGGACTAAAGTGGTAGAGATTTCGGAAATGTTCTTATCGCTTTTAAATACCCGGAATTTAGTAATGATAGTTCCGTAGGCGCTCAACGTGCGTTTCGCCGACAATTTAGTTTATTTCCTCGCGATCCTGTGCCTCCTCGTGGTACCATCCACCTGGGGGTGAAAAACTTTGAAACCACAGCTAGCACGACTCAAAACAGAGGTGGTAGTAAAAAAAACTAGACGGACTCAAGAAAATGTAGAGGGGGGTGAAACAAGCAGTAGGGAGAAGTCCTCGAAAGTCAGCCAGGCGTCACAGCAAAGAACTTGGCCTAAGTGATCGGACTGTGAGGAGAATATTGAAAAAAAAGAAAGAATTTTGAAGAAATGAAGTTTTTAAATATACAACATAAAATTCTACTTGTGTAGTTTTTATTTGTTTAAATCGTCGGATTTGACTGCCACACCCTGTACTTTAAAACGCATTGAGTGGCTTGTGACGCACGTTGCCTGTGTAGCCACGCGAAATAATTGGTCCCGAAACTATACAACGTGTTGACGTCGAGCTACCGTGTGATTTCAGTGGAGTCTCGATAATTCGATTTTTTTCTGGCTCATTGAAGTATTATTAATTTGTGTTTGAGGTATATAAATCGAAAAATCATAAGTCGAATTTATTTTTATCCATCACGAGATTTGAGTTATCGAGACTGTGTAATTTATATTTGTGCAATTTGACACACTCTGTATAACTTGGGTGTTGAATACTGTACGCTCAGAAACATGAATGTAGTTCATCACGGAAAAAGTATTATTATTTTCGTTTGATCATAAAATTACGAATATAAAATAATATCGTCGTACCTACTGTGTTGAAGCCAATTTCGTACCGTCATCGATTGTCGTCGACGATAAGACATTTTTTAAGTAATGTCTACAAGTGATGTCAGCGTTATAATTATTTTTATCTCTCGGGCCCGCGTGCAACACAGATAAAACGCATTCATGTAAAAATGTAGAATCGTTTTTTTTATTTTTGGGTAATCTTCTAAGTAAAATAACTTATTACAAACATTATAGAGGATAATATTTTTGAGAGTTTGACCTATCAGTTTTATGTTTTATTATTATTTGACTTTATATTTAACTTTTATGTAGGTACAAACAGTTCGAGAAAATATTTAAACAATTTATTATATTCCATACACTTAAAAATATTGTTTTCTATAATTTTTGTAATGGGTGAGATTACTCAAAAAACTAAAACAATGATTTTCGTCAATGTGTTTTGTCCATGTCATGCGTGAGTCAGAAAGAAAAACCAACTCTCTTAAGTCCTAATTTTTCTTTCAATACATTTATGGAAATCAATAAATAAAATATGTTTGACAATTCAATAACAATGTGATCGTCGTCGACCATAATTATAAACATTTCCTGTGAAAAAAATATAGTTCCACTAAACATATATGATAACACAGATCAAATAATTATTACACGGTTTCATAAAAGTGGTTTCGCTGAATAACCTATAAATATTAAGAGAAAGCTAGCATTTGTTGTCTTCGTCTTACAATGTCGTTTTCCATGTCACGTACATGGACAATTTTCGTTCACTAGTTTCGACTGTTTGTAGTTAATTTTGATATTTGTATGAATTGGCCTATTATCAAACTCTTAGGTAAGAACATTATCTATCCTAAAGCGTTGGCATTTAAATTAGATGTTTTAATTTTCGAGGAAGATATGAGCATTTTTAATTTCTGATATTTCGCATACCCATATTTTGGTTGGAAATAATAATATTGAAAAAAAATCGCCGACGCTTGAGCACAAATACTATTCTTACCTAAAATTTTGATAATACGTCAATTCACTCAAATAGTAAAACCAACCGCACACAGTTGAAGCTAGTGAACCGCAATTTTTCATGAGTTGTAAGTTTGTAAGACAAAGACATCAGACGCATGCGTAGCGCAGTACTCTATAACTAATGCTTTAGTACTCGATTACTCTTTTTACTCGATTTTAACATTATATTGTACCTATTTTGATGTTTAATAAACGTGATTTAGTAAGTTAAAATATTTAAAAACAAAATGTTCTAGTTGAATTTACTGCCATAAAATATAAATAGCTTTTATATCATTACGTACGTACATTTTGAACCACTCAAAATATAACCCTATTATTATTTATAGGTGCAATATTATGGCCAATGCCTATATTGTTATACAAGTAGTAGATTGTAACTTGTTAGTCGGAGGTATATAACATGTATGCACTTTTAAATTGATATTCTGAAACAATTTATAAAGATAATATATTTTGAGTTTGGCCAATGGCCATGTAAAGGACATGAAAATAAAATAATATTTCTTCGTAATTGTACTCACATTTACATAAAAACTCAATTCTGCAATTCTTACGTAAGCACTAAGCAGGAAAGTATATTGTCGATTGATTTTTGGACAAAAATATTTGTATACTGCTAACATATAAAATAATAAAATAAAACTATCTATGCAAGTGTAAACAATTTTCAATAAAATTAAAAAATATATATATTTAAATAATAGGTAGGTAACGGCGGAGGAACATTCATTTTAAGTCTCAAAATGATATAAAATGTAACGCCTATAGTATCTACATAACTTATAAATATGAGGCATAATCTTTAAATGCTTATGGCTTGAATGAATAATGAATAATAATACTGTAATATCGTCGTTGTTATTGTAGGCTATTGCCAATGATACAAGATAACTTCCAATTCAAAGTACTGTGCTTTGTAGTACGAGGTTTGGAAGCAATCGGTGCCAGTGCATTTTCTACTTCAAGTTTTGTTTATGTCATTCAATTGTTTCCAGAAAACGTCAGTAGCGTTTTAGTAAGTTTTCAGTCTACATAATAGGCACCTGTTAAATATTTTTCTTTAGCGTATGTATCAGTCTTTTAAACACATTTTTTTTCTTTTCAAAGGGTATACTAGAAACATTTGTCGGTTTAGGTATGAGTGTCGGACCCGCAATAGGAGGCTTGTTATCCTCGGTAAGTAATTAATATTGTAATTTATATGTGTACTGAATATTATTTTAAGCATATTCTCAACCGTCAATTAATTTGGATTTTGTCTGAATTTTTTCATGCAGGTCGGAGGTTATGCAATGCCGTTTTTCGTCGTCGGCCTCTTGATGGTGGCTACGGTGCCACTGCACATTTACCTTATGCCTCCAATCAGAGGTAAATAATTTGATTTTTGTGTTTGTATAATATATTACGGTATAATTAATAACTACCTATAATTGTAAATACGTTTATGTGAATAAATCATAAAAATATAGATGATGTAAAAGCATCGCAAGCTGTTGGCAACCGATCCAAAGGTTTAATCAAATTACTCATAATCCCGTCAGCTTTTGTTGTTGGCGCCGTCATTACAGTCACATCCAATTTTTGGGCGTCACTTGATCCAACACTCGAGCCACACTTAAGAGAGGTATATATTATTAATATAAATACAATCATTCCGAACATGTCGATGTGTTTCGTACTTTTGTTACGTCATTACAGCAACGACATTTTAAGTAAATACTTTTTCAACTCACAATCCATCTATATTCTTTTTTTTCCGATTCGAACGAACGACCATTATCTTGGGAATAGGACTTCGTCATAGAAAGGGCGATAGAGTATTTATATATTTAGTAATAAATAATAACTTTCAGTACAGGATTATGGGAGTTGAAATGAATTTAAGCCAGTGTACGTTCATCCACACAATTGATTGCTGACAATACCAGGTGATTCTTTTATCATGAACTAAGTTGTTTCAAAGAAACTTTTTTTTTTAAGTTATATTTTTTTTATCCTCATAAATTTCTTACTCAGAAAAATATTCCACTTTCGAAGAAAAAATTAAAACTATATGTCGTTATTCAAAAAGTAAAAAACTTAGAAAAATATAAGGATAAAAAATATTTTCAAAAACAAAAATACTTTTTTAAATAATGATTGGTTCATGATAAAAAAACCACTGTGTATTTGTGGCATCGTTATTAACCTACATTTATAATACGTGTATTTTTTCAAAAATATGTATTAAAATTATATTTTCGTGTAACCATTTTAAAGGTTTACTGTCCTTAGCAAAAACATGTTAATAACTAAGAAACTACATCACGAAACATTAGTTATTACATCAAAATGTACAAAAAAATTATTCACTAAATAATTTACAATAAAAATGTGGTTTTCATTTGAAAAGCCATATTTGTATCACCATAGGATACTCCATAGGTTGAACAAAAAATTCAAGAATTTGAAAAAATTGTCTTTGAATATTTTTAAAATTCCAAAAAGAATTATTTGAATGAATTCATCATTAAAGGAAAAAATGGGAGCGGCCATGCTTGATTTAATCGCCTTGTACATCAAACTACCATAATATTATGACTCATGACCTAATATGACATATATTGTTTAATATAATTGAATTATTATACAGTGTCTCGACGTTTTCGTTTACAACAAAAACATTTATTTTAGCGTTAATATTTTTAAATATGATTTTGAAAAATGAACACCGTTTATTTGAGAGCGATTTCCCCACCATGGTCACCCCGTAGTCCATAAATACGGAAATGATTGTTCAAATTTATTAATTTATTTTAAGAGGGTATTAGTTATGAAGGTTTTTATGTTTAGACATGAAGCCGGTAGAGTACTTATATAATATTTATATTACAGTATACACTATATATATTAACCACATACAATATAGGTATATTTATAATACTAATATAATATTACACGCTAGTGCTCACTCGCCCACCTGTATAAATATATAATATTACACTCCTTTACGCATTTCTCGCCTAAAACTTGAAACTTAAATAGCCTCTAAATAACAATAGAAAATATTAGAAATTCAAAGTTTCTTTTTTAAATATTTACGTAAATTAATTAGGGATGTAAATATTAGATTGTCTGCCGGTGTACGATTTTTTCAAAAACACGTTTTAGTTTGTTTGAGCTTAGTTACACATAAAGTCATAAACATACTAGAAATTGTAATACTTTTGACGCTATAATACAGGAATGTCAAAAATATTCCTGTAAGTAATGTATTGCCTGAAGGGTCAAACACGATGAAAGTTTAAAACATCCAAACACCCTCTAGCGTGTATACAAAATATGTATTATATATGTTAGTGTCTCACCATATTATAAAAGTTGATGGAAAATATTAAATCAAAAGTCGGGTATATTGCTTATTTATTTCGAACAAGTTATTTGAGCTTTCTTCAAAATTAAAAAGTAGAAGTTATCGAATATAACGTACTGGATTCTAATTTAATTCCTAGACAATAAATATGAATGTATGCAACTATATACGCGGAAACTATAAAAAGCCTGAAAATAAAAGTTGTGGCAAATTATATAGATTTGTTTTTCAAAGTGTACTTAAATAATTATTTTCACAGATGGGCTTATCAACTGACGAAGTGGGACTAGTATTTCTGTTTTGTTCAATACTGTATGGAGTATCAAGTCCAATTTGGGGTTACATTGCTGACAAGTATGATAACCATTGGTCAATGATGTCCGTTGGATTGTTTTTGTCAGCTATCGGGCTATTCATCTTAGCTCCTCTTCCATGGTTACCACTGAATAAAGAGTAAGAAAAATTATAAATATTTAAATGGTATCTAAAATAATCTGCAGGCGACCAGAAAGTATATTTTTAATTTTTGATATAAATCAATAAAATACGTGCATTTTCCTTCATCGTGTACCTACCTAAACATAATCAACTATTGTTAAAAACCATAGAGCTTTTGATTTAATTTTAAACCATTTAATTATGATTGAATAATTTTTTATACAATTGCTGCACACTATATAGTTGAATAAACTAAAATAATAAATTCGCAGGAACTAAAAAAAATATGAAAAAATGCGAGTATTAGCGTAACACAAGTTTCGGGCAAAATCGATTTTATTTTATTGCGTTGTAATTCAAAAATGAATACATAGATAGGTACATGAAACCTTGACAAAACTATTTATTTTATCATCTCCTAAACTCAATATAACTCTCAAAATGTTTTTTCTCTTTTTGTGCTGTTTATAGAAATTTGACATTTCCGAATTTTTGTTAGTTTTTTTTTTATAAATGTTTATATCAATTTTAATGGACATTTTAAGTTTTATTACGTAACACGAAGGTATATTATTATTATATTTTCTATTCACTTATTTGTACACATATTACAGTGACCTATTTCATGATTGGGTAGACACGTGACTTCTACTATGCAGCCGAACTTACCTGGTATTTTTTTAAGTATCAATTAGATATCGTAAAACTATTAATCACGATAATAATTCAAAATTAGATATTTTACCCGAATCGTGAAGAAAATAGATTTCTGTATTCCTTGTTATTTTATTATATTATTATTATCATTTTTCTAGCAGTTTGTTGTTAAGTCTTATTATTTGTTATTATTACGACGAATTGGCCAAACGTATTTTGACGTATTTTTATACTGACGATAGACCATCTTGATTGAGAGAGCTTTGTCGTGTATACTGTATAGTATAGTGCGAATGTTTTCAGTTCAGTGTTTTTATCACGAGTAAAAGAAAACAATTTTAACAAAAAGCTAATATTATTTGAAGAACAGAGGAAACACATATAATATGAAACATCTAGAACCTTTCAGACTTTAGCTGAAACTGGAAGTTAGCTATGTGTAAAGCTGTACATAAATAAACATAATATATATATATCTAGACAGTTTCAAAGTTTAGAATTAAATATTGAATGAATACGCATTCAATATTCAGTTAAATAGGTGGGCATTGCACATATATAGTTGAATTACTAAGACATACTGTAACAACTGTTAAATGACAGTATAATAGCTTATCTTTGAATATTGTAATATACAGTTTCGATTATCAGTGTACTGTTCATTATGTCAAGCAACTACCCAACTAGAGAAAACTAGAGAACTAGAGAAAATATAGGTCAGAACTACACCAATATTCATGGACAAGGCTTAAAAAAAAAACTGTAATTAATATTTAATGAAAAAAATATGTGGGTAGGTAGGCATGCCGTGCGTTTAAATAAAATATATTTTAATAATTATAAAAAATAAAAACAAAATATTATTATAATCTATTATTGTCTGCAAGTATTTTATATTATAGATTGTATAATAAACAATATTAGTATAATACGGCATAATTATTATGAATAAAATATTATAATTTACAGTGTCTTATGGTTGAACCTCGTTGGACTTGGAATTTTGGGCGTGTCTGCGTCATTAACGATGATGCCGGCATTCAACTTCATCTTATCGAGTGCAATGTAAGTTTCACACATTGTGTAATAATATTATACTCATGGTATAGGCATAGAAGTAATCAAATTAGGCTCATTTTTTTCCCGGGAGGGGTGATGATGAACTGAAACGGCTCACACCCCTATTTATTTTACCTTAACAACTTTTACGTCTTATAAGATGTTTGCATTTGATTGGAACATTGTTATAAAATAACCTTATCTTGGACTGCCCCACGGGAGAGGGGGTGTGTGGGGGTTGTGCGTCACACGCCCGTTTACAATGGCAGTAAATTACGACGCAAAATAAGAAACGATTGGAAAAAGTGGTAGCTAAAATCAAAAAGAAAATAATTGGTAATGGACGAATGGACGATGCCGCCCAAATTGAGATAATATTGTACCTATAAATAAGAGGTCAGCGCACTATGTTATTTGTATTTTGTTTTTTTTTCACTCTCGATGACACACACTAAATATGGCAAATTTCCGTCCGAAAAAACTAATCTATAGTGTTGTCAACTTTAATGTAAATAATAATATTTTTAATATTAAATTGAATCGACCTATTAGCAAAGTTAAAGTTAAGAACATTTTATCTGTGTTGCAATAAAGAGGACGGTCTTGTGTTGTCTCCGTCTTACAAGAGCGTAACATATTACATTTTAAGTTCAGCAGATCACGTTTAGCTCAATTAGCTTAAAAACTAAAGTGAATTGACCTCTTATTAGCATTTAAGGTAAGATAATTATGGAGGGTTTCTCATGGGCTTTTTATTATATTTTAATTTTAAAGAGAGTTATGAGTATTTAAAAATTATAAATTGTTTGTACAACTTAAAATACTCTTAACTTTCTTTAAAATTAAAATATAATAAAAAGCCCACGAGAAGCCCTCCGTAATAATCTTACCTTTAATTTTAATAAGAAGTCAATTTACTTTAATTTTTAAGCTAACTGAGCTAACCGTGTTCTGCTGAACGTACAATTTGATATGTAACACTCTTGTAAGACGGAGACAACACAATATGCGGGTATAGCGTCTTCTTAAATTTTCTATGAAATAATGATAATTTTTAAATCTTAATTTTTTACATACCTACTCATAAATTTGCATTCAAATTGGTCAATTCACTCTAGTATTACCTAAAGACAAAAGATTGATTCTGTCAAACGCAAATTTGCTACATTTCACGTGGTAGTCCACTGGCCACTGACATGCTTTTAATCGATATTTTACATTTTTGGTGATAAATATGTACTCTCCGCGTTATTATAGTTTACAGCAGCTGTGGTTATAAATTGTTACGTAATAAAAATGTTGACAAAAAAATATCTGTTAGTTTAAAAAAAATCATATCATCATATCTATTATTATTACATTATTATGTCATAATATAAACGGTTTTTTTTTATTTTAAAAATTCGATGAGATTTTTGGGATTAACACCCCCCCCCCCCCCATATCCCTCATTATTGCATTTATGCATAGGGTTTATTTATAGTGTAAGAAATGTATAGTGTAATGTGTTGGCTCACTGGTCACCGGCCATCGACACAGTTTGCAATTAATAATAATTTAGTTTTAAATTTTATTGGACACTTTTGTTTTTAGAGAAAATGGATTTCAAGAAAGCGTTTCTACATTTGGAACTGTCGCCGGGTTTTGGTCATCAGCCTATTCACTCGGGTAACTACAACAATTTTTATTGTTATAAGATGTTTGATCACAACAGTTTTTAAACGAAAAATTAGTTAAAACGTGGATTTATGACAGCTTATATTATTGTAACCATACAATTTTCGTTTGTGTTTATTAAACAGCGTTAACATGTTGTCTATGTTTGATAATACATTTTGTCCCTTTCGCTTTCGACTTGCACTAACCTTACATAATATATTGAAGATAATAAAATGTAAACATGTTTTTTTATCGTTTTAGTGATATGACCGGTCCATCCTTGGGAGGCGTTCTCTTACAACATTTCGGGTTTTCTATATGCATGACCACAATGGGTCTGTTTTGCTTAGTAGTGGTAAGAAAAATAAATTACTTTATTTAATGTCGACAATAAATGTTGTTATTTACTACTCAAATATTCTGTGCAAAGGAATATCATATTAATTTATTATTAAAATTTAAAATTAAAGCTAAGGTATTTTTAAATACAAAATATTTTAATTGAACATTGACGTTTACCTCAGTAAAGACAATTATTATTAAAGTATTTTAAATATCTGCGATTATTAGGTCACAATAGTGCGTTTTTGTGTATCCAGAAATATCCTGCGCTGTAGCTAAGGGGAGTGTCAAGGTATAATTACCTTTTATTATCGGACGAGTCTTGTGTGGGCTTGAGTGGTGCGCGGGGAAAGCGTTGTCCTTAGTAAATTATAGTTGAATTTAGAGTAACCCTGTTCTGTGGGAAATTCGATTAAGAATATCGAATGTTCTATTAAGGGACGATATTAAATTGTATTATTGTTTTAAATAATACCTACACATCGAACAATATACCTAACGCAATTTCGAATTTCAATCGAATTACAACGTTTATAAAGTTATACATTATAATTAATTTATTGTATTTAATATTATGTTCTTTTAATTTTTTTTTTTCGTTCATTAATTTTATTATACACTATTTAATTTCAATCTCTATTTATCGTTTAATTATTTTGGATACTATATTAATTAAGTTTGATGATGCTCAAGCATGGATAGTTGCACAATATCTTATATTCGTCTCGAAATTTATTAAGATATTCAATAAAAAGTATTTTAATCCCTCGCATTTAAAGTAAAAGTATAAACAAATATCTACATAAGTAGACGTCAACTTTTCTTCCACCCAAAGTGAAACAAATAATACGAATTAACCAAGATTAACGATAACATTATTATGACATTTAATCTTTACATTGTTATTCATATTATGAAAGCGATTTTTTTTGTAGTTCTGCAATTCTACAAACAAATAAGCTATTGAATACGAAGCATTAGACGATTTAAGCATTAAACATTTTTAAGGAATTTATTTAGTATTGCACAGTTTAATATGCGATCGTATGTCACAGTTTATATTCTAAAATAATACCTAAATACCTAATTAATAATTACTATTTTTCATTTTTTAGGGTGTAATGTCGGTTGGGTTTTTTGGTCTTGCGAAAAAAAAAAAAAAACGTCCAAGAAGGATGTCCGACAAAAGTCCATTAAACGATCCGAAAATTATACATCCACGGTATAATTCACTGAACGACGATCGTGGTGGATCATTGATGATTTCAAAATTTTCATCCAAAACCGAAACCACTGAAGTGTAAATAAAATCTGTGAGTAGCATAAGCGAATATTCATATTACCTATAATATACATACATGTAAATGTTTAGGTAATACGATATATCAGAAAATAATATTACTAAATTAAGTATATTTTGGTATACCTATAAATAATTATTAATTTTATATTTTAGGTAAACCGGTCTACTCGAGTCGAAAGTTCCATTTTGTATTTGTTCACAGTTTTCGACAAAAGGAGTTCCGTTAATAATAGCTCATTTTTAGACACTATCATTATTATTCCAACTAGTAAATAACTATAGTTGATAAATTAATTTACTTCAAATAATTATACTTGACCTTAACATTTTTTCGAAAAATATTTATAGTACCTAAATGTAATATTAAAGATTTTTTGTATTAATTATTTTAAACTATAATATTACTAATTGTATGTGAATTAGATAAGTATTTTTTTAGTACACGTTTATTCTATTTTCCATCATAATTCTTGATACCTATATTTTAATGTTATACAATATAATGTTGCATTTTCAATTGACTGATTGTATGAATCACAACAAATAAAACAATATTTTGTTTGTAAAAATAAATATAAATATTACTTTATAATATAATACTTATATAGTTATATATATAATAAATATATTGTTTTATGCAATTATTGATTGTTATCTTTTTGATTTATTTAAAAATTAACCCAAAATAATAACAGTATGAAAATAAAAAAATAAATAAAAAAATATTATAGTTAATGGAGTAGAATTTAATTATCTATCGTACTATACGATGATAAGGCGTATGATGATTTTCTTTGTTTTATAGCAATAATAATTAATAATATAATTAATAAAATAATAATAATATAGTAAATAGATACTGCAATCAACTATGCAAGTCCCAAACTCAAAAAATACGAAGCATTGTGGAAATTATCATAAACTTTTAATTGTTTAATTCCATTTTTATTATGCTTAAAATACGTATTTATATTTTTTTACAAACATACATTTAAATAATTAAAAATTAAAATTAATATTGTTATTTTTATAGTAGTTCCGCGGGCTTAGTAAAATTTTCAAATTCGATTACCCATCACATCTACACACAGTGGAATGGTATTTATACTGATGTACCTAGTAAACTTTCAAATAAAATGAGAAATGTTTTTTACTTGGCTACGCTGTTAATATTATACGGTGGCGAATATCTGTTGGGGTGGTTGAGTGGATGCATACTCTGGAGGTTTTTATTACTTTAGTTGCGTTCTCGTATTATTATTATATACATTATACATATAGTTTTAAATGTTTTAATTCATCCCCCCTCGGGAACATTATGCAAAAACCACCCCTGTAATTTATCATGTGGCAAATCATTTTTTACGAACTCGGTAACTGCTGCGGAAGCAAAATTGTGTACATTGTTTTTGGACATTTCATTATATTTAAGTATAACTGCACAGTGGTTCTCAAAAATGTTTTACGACGACGCGCCTTAACATAAATCCAAATAAATGTGATGACAAATAATTTAATTAAACCAATTAATTGTATTTTGTAAAAATAATTACAAAAAAATTATAAATCTATGACTATAATGTTTATTTACATGGTACCATTTCGTAAAAAACAATTTAAAAAAAAGTATAAATACTTCATTAAAATTTTTTTTTTTTATGAAAGTACTTAAACGCTTACAATGAATGTACGTATTTTAAATATGAAAATGCATGTAATAAATTCAAAACTACAAAATTAACACATTTCATGAAGGCGTTTTAGACCGATTTCGTAGTATTATAATTAATTTACTAACTTATAATTTCATTCTATTAACATATCGGTGAGAATGTGAAACCATCGCCGTCACCGTCGTTATCGTCAAGATTTTATCACCGTGCCATAACGTCATAAAAGTATCGTTTATTCATATTTTTCAAATCATGAATCAAGATATGTATGTTAAATGGCCCGTGCTGCAGAGTTGTATTTTGAGATACCTAAATAAAAAAAATGAAAAAACGTATGTTTTTATGTGTAAATATTATATTAATTCGTATTTTAAACATAATTTTATTAAACAGGATACATTGTTTTAGATTTTAAAATATGGAATAACTGGTAAAAAAGTAAATATTAATTTTATAAATTTTTAGTTACGTATAGAATTTTGTTTTCTATTATAGTTTTTATATTATTTGTAAGTATATTTTCCAAAAAATTAAAATGTAATGCAATATTTAAGTATTGTAAAATACATTCGAATTTTCAACCTTAAATATAACCGACTATAGTAACTATATGAGCAATACAACTACGGGGACTAAAATTAATAAATAATTTATAAGCTTGATGGGGATTCAATTCCGACCGTTTTTAAGGAGTTCGATATAGGCAATTCTCCAATTGCGTGAGCGAGAGTTTTGTATATGTGAAGGTAGTAAGTGATCATTACTGTCATAAGACGTGTGTGTGTGTGTGTGTGTGTGTGTGTGTGTGTGTGTGTGTGTGTGTGTGTGTGTGTGTGTGTGTGACTGTAGTTAGTGGTCGGTCGTGTATAGTGTTAGAGAAGTAGTGGAGCGGGCCCCCGCACTTGCACACACTTGTCAATAACGCGCCACACGAACATTAATTATTTTGTTTAAAAGTTTTTGAAAATTTGATCACCCATATTTATCTGTTAAATATTTTGAAATCAAACTTGAACTCGTCATGACATTTGCTTGAAAACGATTGTCTCAATTAGGTATAATTCGTTTTTTACATTAATTTCATGAACATTTTAAAATTTAAGACTGTCGATATTCAACATTTAAAAATTTCACTTTGAAAAGTTTAATAATTCAATTTTAATAATTGGGAAAGTCGTTCTCAAGCAATCTCCGAGACGTAGGTAGTATGTTTTCAGAAGTTCACTGTAAGATATTCGGTATAATTTGATAAACGATAGGTCAACGATAGGAGAACACAGCCGGGACTGAATCCCCTTAAATAATAGTCACATATTGAAAAACATTTTGAGCCTTTCCGTTTAGGTTCGACTTTTATTCATAGGTATAGAATATTTTATTATTATCGCCGATTTACCTATTTAATGAAATACAATTCGGAAAATAATGAGAATCTCCTCCTCATGATGATGTCCCCTAGCTGGACTCTGGTTAATGATAAATGGACAAACGGGTCTCAAAAATATTATAAAACATGAGAATATGAGAATTCTTTGTTTTTTTTAACTAGCCGCGAGTTATTTTCGCTTGAAAAATATAGTGTCTGCAGTGGACCACCATTAGAATCATCATACGATGTCCGCTATAGAGAGTTTTCCACGTTACACAGGAAGGTTTCGTTTCATGGCGTTGGTTGAAAAAAAAAACGATTATACTAACTTTTTTTTTAAAAATAATAAAAATAATATACCCGTGCATTATAATATATAATAATAATATATGGGGATTGAGGTCTGAAGACTACACACGCCGTATATGGTGCAACGTTGCGCTGACGTGCAGTGCGTGTAGCACGGTATTCGTACAAAAGTGTGTAGGGAGAGGGTTGGAGGGTATACCAAATGAAAGAGACAAGTGCGACAAGGGGATGGATTCGCGAACAAAGCATCACGTACTGACCGTGTATAAATATATATATATATATATATATATATATTATAATATTATACACAATACACATACTGTGTGGTCTGTGAGTAACGACGAGAAATAAATTCCCCCCGAGCAGTTTACATATACATATATATATATATACAGCGGAACTGGGTCGTGTTTTGTGTGTATACTGTATATATATATATATATATATATAATATGTATATACAATACATCTATATATACATTGCAACACTTATATTATTCACCCTTCTGTATAGTTGTTGTACACGAGCTTAGTTTTCTGGGCAAAACCAAGGTGTGGAAGAATTCCTAGTGGCTGTGGCTTAAGTTACAAGTTTGATTTAGTGGGTTCTATGACCGGACGTGCTGGTATAATATATAAATAGGTGTGTTTGCACAGCGCACAGTTATTTCAATGTACGTTTATATCGTCAAGGAATCATTTATGTTTCATTTTCTATACGGCTTCATTAGTCACTGTGAACGGACTATATTATTATTATTGAAATTTCAAAAAAATATAAACAAAACAACTCTCTTTTATTTCAATTGTGCGTATCTTAATAAAATATCCATGCACAAATTAGCTTGTCTGAATTCTGAAAATTAATAATTGCGCATATTTTATTTATTATTATTGTTTAATTCGACCAGGGGACTCAGACTGGAGTTCAGAGAAGTTTGTATTAATTTACAATACATATATATATATATAATATATGTATTTGAAATGCAAACATAAAAAAGAGCGCTCGCCATAATATTATGCGGTACCACTGGCATTAACTTTAGGTGCTCTCACTTGTTTACGTAGTAGGAAGCTATTAAGTACTAAAATTAATTTCGCACAAGTATAATTAGGGTACATTAATTGTGTCTTTCTCTCGCTATATATAAATCTATTTATGCTTATTAGACATCTAATATATATATATTATATATATATCATTTGCAAGTCTATATTAAAATATACATACACGAGTACAATGTACATATTATGTATTGTAGAAAAAATATAATTTAAACTATTAATTTATACAGAAAGAAAAATGTATCATTAGTAGCATATGAATATATTATATTGTAATTCATATTATTAAGAATTTGCATCTTCATTGGATAGCTACATCGAAAATCGAAATGTTAAATAAAAAAAAAATAGAAAAAGTGCCATATGCACCTATAATGGTGTAGTAATTCTTACATTTTAATAATTACATTTTATAATATATCGTGTTAATGAAAAATTTGTAAATTGCAATCGAATGCCGATAATTATGCATATATTGCAGCCGATCGCAGTATAATAATATATGATAGGATATCGATCATCTCCGCCGCCTACCGAACACCAACAATATTTTATGATAAAAAATATTGAATACCATAT